CCGGAGTTAAACCACGACAGGGATGGAACAGGCAGTGCAGACTAAGGTGGTTAGAAATACAACGTTAAATATCTCAGTGAATATTGTGTCTTCTCTGTAGTACACTGTGAGATCTCCGCTGTCAATTTTGAATGGTAAACTGAGTTTTAGAGAATCTACAACATTTAGATTCACCAAAACTAGTTTTCACACACTGATTGACATTGCCTGCTTCATGCTGTTGGGCTTTGTTTAAGAAAGGAAATGCAGAGCATAGTTTTGTGGGTTTCAGTGTTGGTTACTTTCTAGTTGAGTGAAAACTGTTCCCACAGTACGACTTCAGTTCATATGGACTGGAAGAGACCTTAAATCAATTGGTTTCATATGAAAATGAAAGAGCTATAGCTTCATCTTCACTGTGTTGGGTTTTTTTCTCCCTACTTGATTAGAATTCTTCAGACTCTGTGTCGAAAACTGAAGCTCCCGGAGTCCTTTGAATTTCATCATTTAGCACGGCTGACTCCGGGTTATGTGGGTGCTGATTTGATGGCACTTTGTCGTGAGGCAGCCATGTGCACAGTGAACAGGGTCCTGATAAAATCTGAGAAGCAGAAAAGGAAACGCACACACGCTGGAGGAAACGCAGCTGAAGGAAGCGTGGGAATAGGAACAGACAACCTGGTAGAAGAAGATACTGGACAATTAGAACTTCCTCCGAAGGTATTTGTTCCTTGAAGCATGTGCCTCTTTAAGAATTGAGCCATTTTTTAGTTGTGTCATTGCTCACAAATCCTTCATCATCTATGGCCAACGTAGTAATCATTTCAGATTTAGAAATACAAGTTCCTAAACCAGAAGCTTAACTCCTAATAACCGATATAATGGGTCTGAATAACTGGCTCCCAAAAAACCCCCACACCTTCTGAAAATTGCAATTATGTTTTATACAAGGTGTGGGGTTTTTCCTTGGGTTTTTTGTTGTTGTTTGTGCTGTATTGTTTTGTTTTCTAGCAGAGCAGAGGTTACAATAGTGGCTGTATCTCTCCTCAAAAGCATATTGACCGTAAGAGAATTGTACGAATATCAGACTTGCACTGGGTTTTGACCAAGATGTTAGCTGTGCCCTCGGTGAAATACCTGTTACAATGCTGGGGCTCTTCCCTGCCCTGGTATAGTTGCAGTTAGCCAAAGTCTGGAAGTATTTATGCAGCCTACGTTTTCCCTCCAGCGGTGTGATTATGTGGGTAAATCACATGGTGTCTAGTGTCTGTAGCAAGTTTGAGGAAGAGTTGTCTGTTCGGTAGACAAGTGGAGTTAGCGGTGTGACTCGAGCTGCAGAGAAGGTATCTGTTCATGTGCAGGGCAGCTGGAACGCTGGTGCAGAAAGTAGCATTTTTAGTGCCAGAATTATTCTGTGGTCCAAGTAACATGTTGTGGTCAGTGAACCGGAATATCTGTATATAGAAGTTTTTGGCACCACTTCTCAAAATGTGGAGTGTGTATGTGCCTTCATTATGTGTCGGCTTCTGGAAGATTTGTCCAGAGAAGTAAAATAAAGTGGTTTTGGATCCACATTGTACTCAGAGGCTGGTTGTAGAAGGACTGTCAAAGAAAACTCGTGCTGTAGTTAACAAAAAACTGTGTAAAAAGCTGCAGTAAGCCTTTGTATTAGAGTAACATAAACATACTGCGTACCTCCCAGTGTTTCCTGGGGCCTGATGTAGCCAAAAGAAAGTGGGGAGGGGCAGATATTTGCAGCTTTTATCAACATCACTATGATCAAAGGGGTTATTGAGGATGAGGAAGTCTAATCCTAACAGAGCTGTGTTTTGATAGCTGGCGGGAGGTTGACATAGTCTAATACAGGGTATTGTCATTAAAACCATCATATTGTGTTTATAATCGAAAAATAAACATACAAAACTCTTAAAAATCATTCACACACTTCAAGTAAGCAAACCCAATCGTCTCTGCTCTTTCAGTTTTTCTTAATGGTCCTGTTAAGAGGAGGAGGGAGGGCTTAAAAGGAATATCAGGCACTATAAACACTTCTGTTTCTCTGTGGTCAGTTGTAAGGCTATCTTAGTTGCATCAAATAGGAAATGATACTTTTCCCATATACTGCTATAGGAAAAATGGAAACGTAATAGTGTTTACAATTTTTTTTCCCCTCCCTCTATGCTATAGTGCAAAATCCTGGTATAGTTTTACTTGTGGTACAGTATCAATTTGCTTTGATACTGCCTTTCTGTAATAGAACTGGGGTATATTTATGTTGCAAAGGTATAAAATTCTTCGATCAAGTATTTCCTCAGAGAGTTTTCCCAGTGAGGAACTGATGGGGGAAAGCGTAACATCCCTGCCCGGGGCGCTGTGGTCTGCAAGATCGGCCAGCATTGAAAAGCATTACTCTGTGTCTCTATTCTGTTTCCCCAAACTTTATCAGGTCTAATAAGCCTGAGGAAATGAGTTAATGACTTGAAATCAGATTATGGTAAATAAAAGAGTGTGTGTGTGTGTGAAGAGCTTTAAAGGTCTATATGTAACTGAATATTCTGCAAATTGCTGAGACTGTGCTATTTGGGAGAGCTGTTTGCCTTCTCCTGAGCGATGTCTTACTAAAAATGGAATTAATACATACAAGTAATATGTAATTTTTGGAAATTTCAGCATGGGAAGAACTGTGGGAGAAGCAGTAGGAAGAATTTCAGGACAAAATACATGTGCTAGCTGTGTTTCTGTAGTATCTAAATCAAGACTGTAGTCTGTCGCCTCAGTGCTTTCACAGGTGTTAAAGGTACACGGTGCATTCCTGGAACACTTTAGTAATTTAATGTTAATTTTGAACGCTGTTTTACATATTCTATGTGTATTGTACGTAACGATTTGTTTTATACTAATTAATGTTACACCTGAAGAAAGCATTGCTTTGAAAAACTCCTTAAAAGTGGTTCTTAAAAAGCTAATCCGATGCACAATCTTTCTCTCTCCCGCTCTGTGTCCCCTAAGGATGAATTGCAGAGGCTTTTGGATTTGCTGAAGAAGCAAGACCCCTTGCCGGAGGAGCAGCTGCAGAAGCTGTGCATTGAGATGAATGATTTCATTGTTGCACTGTCGTCGGTGCAACCCTCTGCCAAGAGAGAAGGCTTTGTCACAATTCCTGATGTGACATGGGCAGATGTCGGAGCCCTGGAGGACGTTCGGGAGGAGCTGACTATGGCAATATTGGTATGTCTTAGGCTTAATCGCAAAGATTTTTTTTGCACTGCCCCCTACGCAGGAAATAAAACTGTCCTTGTTTTGGTTTTAGTATTTATTTAAGGTATAATCTGCTGCCCAGGGGTTCTAACGTGATACAAGCTACAGATTTTGCAACATCTTCGTTTGAGTTCATTTGGGGAGGTTTAGATTAGATATCAGGAAGAAGTTCTTCACAGAGAGAGTGGTGAGGCACTGGAACAGGTTGCCCAGAGAAGCTGTGGATGCCTCATCCCTGGAAGTGTTCAAGGCCAGGCTGGATGAGGCTTTGAGCAACCTGGTCTAGTGGAAGGTGTCCCTGCCCATGGCAGGGGGGGTGGAACTAGATGGGCTGTAAGGGCCCTTCTAACCCCAACCATTCTGTGATTCTATGAATTAGTCAGATTTCTGGAATTTGCTTTCAGATTTGTTGTAAGTCTGGTGGGTGTATTTAACCTGTCACTTACTGTATTCGTGCATTCAGTTTTTGGTACGTTCATTATTGCGGAATCTTAAATATTTGGTAAGTGCTGTAGCTATAACCTTGGTTACACAACTGCCCCACAGAGAGTTGCAGAGTGCTTGGCTGGAAGGTTAGCAGTTGTGCTGCCAGTCAGAGGGACATTTAAAACTAGCACCTTAAGATGCAGACTTAGGTAAATAAAATCTCTGCGTCTGAATAACGATACTACATCCATTTTGGGGTATTTATCAGTACAAGATAGTAAGATGCTGATCGACTGTTTATTCTTTTAGCTTATGAATAACTGGAATAAAGAACTTGCTTGTGAATGGTTTTTCACCCAACTGTAACTAAAATGAAAAGTTTCATGTTAGTTTTTTGTCATAGATAACTATGATAAATTCTTTTGTAGGCACCTGTGCGAAACCCAGAGCAGTTTAAAGCTCTGGGCCTGACTACTCCAGCCGGTGTCCTGCTGGCAGGGCCTCCTGGGTGTGGCAAAACACTGTTGGCTAAGGTAACGCATTTTCTAAACGTGTTTAAAAATACTGGAGAATCTTGTTGAAATGGATGTCTTTGTGACAATGACTCAGTGTGGGTGATAGTGCCAGAAGTTGAACTTCTGCATTCCTCAGTAGAAAATTCAATTTGGGGCTCTGTGCTATAAAGTTACTTGATTTTTCTTGTCATAAAGTTACAATTTTAGTTGAATTAGAGGGAATTATTGCAAAACTGGAAGGAATGAAGTTGGTTAAGAAAAAAGTAGCAAAGATGGGAAGAAGCTCTTAGGGACCCCCTTCTGTGCAGTATTTCACTGTAACCAAATTACAGATTTGGAAATAGTCTGCACTTGTACTATATTTACGTATTTTTAGTTAGTATCTTTGCCTTATTGAAAATATTTGTTTTCCTTCACGAGCATTTCAGTTCTTACAGTCTCCCCATGTAAAAGCAGCCAATCATGCAAGTTTCCGGATTGTCACTAATCTTTTGTCTTCAACTGCTCTTAGGTAGTTAAGTATCTTTCTGATTCCCACTAATTATTGATAATTATTCAACAAATACAGGGGAGAGGGGTGAGGTGTGAATCTGCAACAATGCCTCATTAAATAGAGAGAAAACACCTTGCTACGTTTCCTGCCCGCCTCCCACCCTTAATTGCATATATACTTTGTACTGTTTTCTATATTTTACAGAGTTGATAACTGTGCTCCTTCCCTTAAATTTGTTTATCACTGCCTGGGCAGAACCAGAGAAAACACGAAAAATGTGTGGCTTATATGTACATGTCTGTCTTTCCCTTTTTGATAGGCTGTGGCAAATGAGTCTGGACTGAACTTCATCTCTGTGAAAGGTCCTGAACTGCTAAATATGGTATGTGCTCATCTCCATGCTTTTGTTATTTATGGAATTCTTGTTTAAAGTGTGGGGCAAGTAAAACTCCTGATAATTACACAACTGATAGTGGTGCAACAGAAGTTGCCTCATTTAACCTCTGCTTAATGTTTATAGCAGTGTTCCCGTGAAAAGGAAAAAGCTGTCTCGGTAGTTTTAAGTATGTATCTAGGTTTAAATTACCTGGTAGATGGAGCCTACTTGGCTAAAGTAGGATTTCTAAATGACCAGCTACACTCATCAGGGCTGTTGTGTAGATCAGGAAAAAAACCCCAAAAAGTCAAATCATCAGTGACAGTCGGTGATCCGTAACTGCACATCAGCAGCTTTCAGTAAGCAAAATAAAATTTTTCAAGTTTGAAAATATGTTTTGCCAGTCATTTTAGCTTCTTCATGGAAATTTAAAACCTTGGAAAGCAATGTGGGTTTTTTTGCTTGATCCAAGTGATTTTTAAAGGGTTTAAATGTTAATAAAAGAGCTTTAGTCCACGTTTTTGAAGCACTGGACTTAAAAGTGTTGTAATGTAACTTCGATCCGTTTTGGTGTTAAGGGAATGTGTTGAACTGAGCGAAACAGCTGCAGCCCATGTCTTGGAAGACCGTGGCAGTTACATGTTTATCAGTAATGTGGAAGCTAAAACCAAAATCGATTATTTGATTATTCTTTTCCCATACGTTTTTTTAACATGTGCTTCAAGTACTGCTGTCAGGCAGGAATTATAATGAGGAGTTCTACTTCCTTGTGGAATGAAGAGAAAATGTCTGGCTGCAATTCAGAGACTGTGTTAAGACATAAATTGTAGCCAAACATGTTTGTTGGGTAAAAATGAAGTGGTTGCCTTCACAACTTAACAACCCCCGCCCCTGCAGTTTGCCATTCAGAGTGAAATTCCGGCTCACTTTTCAGTTCCGTAGCACCAACCCCCTGTCTTGGGGCAGTGACTCTCTGAACTTCAGGTGTTCATTGTGTTCAAATTGCTCACTGGATTTGTTTTATGAACAGCTGAAGAATAACAGGGTCCTTAGTGAAGGACTGTACTTGTTAATTCTCATCAGGAGAATGGTGGCAAGTTAGATTTATTCCCCAGAAAGTAAGAATTCTGTTAAACTCGGTGTACTACAGATTGTCAAATGAGCTAGTTCCTATGTAAATCTTCAGGAAGGAAATACTAGAGACAGCAGACTGTTACCAGAAGTGTACTGCTTAGCAGGTTGCACTTCTCCCTTGCAAAGCACCTCAAATAATGTTTTAAAACTGTGAATATTTTTTTTTCCAAGAAAAATCTTCATGTCTCACGTTGTTTGACTGCGATTTGTCATTTGTTTCAGTATGTTGGTGAAAGCGAACGTGCAGTCCGTCAGGTATTCCAGCGCGCCAGGAATTCAGCCCCTTGTGTTATATTTTTTGATGAAGTTGATGCTCTGTGCCCTCGGAGGTCTGACCGTGAAGTGAGTCTGTCTTAAAATATCTCCCTAACTAATTGATCTTGGTTGAGCTTTTCTGGCATTGTGCTAGCAACAGAAGAACCTGGAAGGGTACTACGTTCAGCATCTCCCAAGAAAAGCAATCCAATAGGATTTCTCATATTTGAGGAAAAATGTCGGTCAAATTTTATAAAGGTCAATACTTTTTTTTTTTTCTAGTATGCATATATAGAAAAGAATTTCCAGAGAATGTGTGTATATCCACCAACTTGGCTGTGTAGAGCTGTTGGGAAAGATGGAGTGCAGTTTAATGTCATGTTTAATTTATGGCCAAATCCTGGCATCTGTATGCGACTAATACTTGCATGAAGGGTGTATTTATTTGAACAACGGGAACTGGGCCATGAAAATACGTGAGGCAGAAGCCTAAGTGGGATGCATGAGACTTCATGCCTATTCCACCTGTCAAGTTTTACCTTGTCCTGATTTTTGTTGTTGTTGTTTTGGAATAGGAACTGCCCACACCTAGGATTAACTTCTGCTTTTGGGGAGGAGGTATTAGCCTGTTGAAAGGAAAAGCCACTCTGTTTTTTTTTTATGCAGAGGAAGTGCATCTCTTTAATGATACTGTACTGGTGCCTGTATGTTGGTGGCCAAAAGAAAAGATGGGGTTTTTTAACAGACGAGTGGAGTGCAGTCCTGTCAGATAGTGCCCTCAATGACTTGAAAAGAAGGGCTGTTGGAGGAGAAGACTGTTCATAGGAGAGAGGAAGTTTGATCAGCTATTTCTGAATCGTGCCCTGTCTTCTGAATTTGCATACTTCATTCACTTCCTATGAAAGATAGCCAAGGTGAAAAGATCAGATTTATTGAATGCCCTGAGGTGGTGATTCCCACAGAGACATGTGAAAGAAGGTGTCCGCTACTAGGCACCACAGTAGGCAGAGATGGTAGTCAAGGAAGGGGTAACAAGTATGCTTTGGCCTCAACATATTTCACTTCTGTGACAGCAGCAGCAGGCAGCAACTGGATGCATAGAAGCCCACCCCTGGTCCTCACAGCCTCCTTTAGCCACGTAGAGGTACTGTCTGGGCAACAGAGTGGTGACTTTGTTACTCAGGCTGTGGTACTGGTGAAAATCCTTGGGCTTCATAATTGAAACCCAGGGGTGTTTGGTGTTTCCATTGGCTTTTTGAGACCTGTCTGCATTGTTATCAAATACTCCAATTGTACGTGGATTTATATTTTCATGTGTTTATAACAAAACACTAACACTTAGAACAACATTCTTCAAAACTGAACTCTTGTTCTCCACCTCCTGTGCTTTGTCTGTCTTCCAACCTATAGAAATAATTCAGATTAAGCTCTTCAGTTTGATTATAGGATCACTAATGCAGAGTCAACATTTAACTCTGAGTATCTCACCTGTGGAAACTATTGTTTCAGAGGTTTAAATATTTGGAGAACTTTTTCCTTTCCAAAACCTGAATATTGAGAAGTTTGAGTGTTCTTGTTGAGGTGGGTGTGAGAATGGCTAGTATCAATATCTACATGTACTTCTTGGACTCCTTCACTTCTAATGGGAAAGAAAATGTTGCTGCATGTTAAAATGTGTGGTGGGTATGCAGGTAGTGTGAATTTGAGGTGGAAACAAGCTGAGACTGTGACGCTAGAAATCCAGAATGCAGCTACATTAGAAGTGTGAAAAAGAAACTTTTTCTTGGAATAGTATTTCAGGGCAGGGAGCTAGTAAATCTTTTGTTTCTTTCACATGGAAATACATTCCCACTCTTTTTCCTCAATTTTGCTGACAAATTTCTCCTTTTAAAGTCAGGAGCCAGTGTCCGAGTAGTTAACCAGTTACTCACGGAGATGGATGGTCTGGAGAATCGTCGGCAGGTTTTCATTATGGCTGCCACAAACAGGCCAGGTAAGGACCCAAAAATCATAAACAGAAATCAGACACCCTTGGTTCTCTTCTGATGAAATCATGTGTTCTTAGATACTGGAATTCTTCAACTAACCTTGTTCTGTACTTAAAATTACAGTGTCTCCTCATATCCAAACCTTTTCTGATCAGTTAATCTCTTCCACATTCTTGTGACAGCGTGAGATGAAGCAACCTCTTTAAAACGTGTCTTCCTTAGCACCTGCCGCCGTTTCTGTGAAATGCTTTGGAAGACATTTGACTTGATTGGATTTGGGATTCTCTCCTTGGAATGTGAAAGAACAAAAGAGAACTAAAACATAACTTGTGTAATTTTTGCTGCTTGCATTGATTTTCTATCCAAAGCAACCTTATAGGTTGCTGCTATTTTAATTTTTTGTGTGTGTTGAGGCATCTGTCTCATGTTTAATTAATTTTCCATTTGCTTATCCTTTGCTTCCTGGGCTTTGTGTTCCAAACTTGATTCCCTCAGCCTGAAGTTATCCTGCGGTTTCCTCGTATTCTGCCAGGCATTGATGTTGACAACTGTCTCTGCTCCCTTGCTGTCTCTTCGATTTTTGGTAGCTTTTGCAATTCCTGCAGCCATATCTTGGGTAATAAGCTGAACAGTGACTTCTACTTTATAAATTTTGCATGTTTTACAACCAACTTTCTGCCTCTTTTGCATTATGGAGAAGTCTTGTGTTTTATACGTAGCAAGAAACTTGTCTCTTCCCCAATTTGAGCTCCATCTAGATGCTGTGAGTTAGAAGTAAAGGCATTTGTTGTCAGTATAGAAAGAAACATATGAATGAAGATGGTTGGTTATGAGCATTTTTCTGAATGTTGCAACTGAAATAAAATACAGGGTTACTACTCTGTCTTGGTAAAACCATACTGGTGTAGGTGCAGGAAAGAACTTTTGCACTTAGAGCACGTATTTTGCAAATTACTGGTAATGACAAGACTCAGTTGTTTCATTTCTGTATGTATTATATAAGGACAAGATGTAGAATTCTGATGAGAAATGGCTTAACAGGGAAAAAGAGTAGCATAGCTACTTTGTATATAAATTGGAAGATGAGAAAGTTAAAATACTTGACAGATTGCTTGGGTCCTATAGATTAAGGAAAATTTGATCAGAAGTCACCTAAAATAGGCAACTCTGAGGTGGTTTTGGTGCTTTCCAATGGTGACAAAAATCCAAAAATTTTGAGGAAAATTTTCCTGTTTCTTGAATTCTTTTCACCATGACAGACTACCGAGCCTTTTACATGGTGATGTGTGAGCAGTAGGTGCTCGTAGAAATTCTTTGATTGAAAGGGGGAGGTTTTCCTGGCATGAGTTGGTGATTCTGACCTGTCTAGTCCAACACAGAGAATAAGGTTATGCAGTGTAGCACATCCATATACAGGTACTGGTGGCTGAACCAAGGGTGTTGGTACCAGTGTCATCAAGTTGCCTTAGCAAAGAGACCTCTCTCTAAATTAGTTATGCTGGTGCAAGTATTTATATCAAGCAGCCTTGTTGGTTTCTCAAGGGCTTCATATCTAATTGTCAATGACAGTAAATGCGTCGTAATCTCTGACTGGTAGCTTGGGGTGTGAATTCCAACACTTTTGAAGTTGAGGAAGAGCCTAGCTTGACTTCCTGCAGTGCCACCTCGGGTGTACCACAGGAATATGTGGGGCACATACTATTAGGGCCAGGGTGTGTCTCGTAGAGGCACCTGAATGCAAGTATTTAGTAGTTTTACAAGAGCCAGGTTAGAGTGAACTTTGCTCGGCTGTTTGTTTCAGGATACAAATACTCGCGTGGGGCAGGTTTGTCCTAATTCCCAGCTTTGCTGGGCTTAGATTTACACTGGTTTGTTACTTGTTTATAGGTCTCTTTTTCATGCGTGTCTGAAATAGTCATCTGTGCAATTGTTAACCCGTCCCTTTATAAGCCTTATACTGGATGCAGTTTTACTGTTATATTGGCACAAGGTACCTCTGCAATGGTTTGGGGATTATTCTGTTGCCTTGTCCAGCTGCAGTGGTCGATGCACTCTTTGACAGGACTGGAATAGTTAAAATTGCAAAACTTTCCTGTGTAATGAGGGTTGAACTAATATTTGAGGGAAGCTGGGATAAGGCGTGAGCTCAGCGGTGTGTTACTACCTGGTGACATTGGTGAAAAAAGTGAATTTGAGGTAAAAATGTCAAACGGAAAGAAAACACAAAGGCATGGATAGCAGATATAATCACCGAATTGAGGGGTGTAAATGTGTCTGCAAATTCTGTAAATGGGAATTAATTGTGCCTTGACAAAGGAGTTGTTTTGCCAGTGCGATGAAGTACATTTTTCTGACCAGCAAAGCTTGGCACGTCCAACTTGTGCTAGAAGAGGCAATTGCCATGCAGTTTGGATAGCATAGATCCCTTCCTCCAGAAGGCTTCCTGTGGGCTATGAGTGAGAATTGCACTTTGAGTAGGTTTAGACTACAAACTTGCTGCGGTACCTGCATTTGTCAGTGTAAAGAGAGTGTCCAGTTGATGCCGCTTTTATCAGAACAACTCTACTGACACTGTGGTGAACTGGGGGAACCCTTGGGCAGTTCGCTCACCCACTTACGTGGCTTAGGAGGAGGCAGTGTTCACCAAATTAAACCTTGCTAGTATGGGGTGGGTACTTAATAGGGGCACACTGCAGGTAGAGAACAGTGACGGCTGTGCTTGTAAAGCACTCTTACTGCCCTAAGAATGAGATGTCCAAGCAGAGACCTGTAGGAGAACCTTGGCTTATACTGGCTAGTAAATTTAAATGATTCCCACAAACAATAAAAATTGAGGTGCCTGAAAAGCTCTTTTGCTTATAATTCTGATGGTTGTATGAAAGATTTTTCTGTCATAGCTATGTTGAATAGAGGCACCTGGGGGTTGTGTAATATAAATCTAAATAGTGGTTATGTTTCCCAGTAGAACTTCCTGAAATCTTCCACTGGGCAGTATTTTGCAGAGTGAGATCTCATTTTTTGAAATCCATGTTAGTATAATTTAATGGAAGAGAAAATGGCTTTTCCAGATGCTTCTTTTTACAGAGTGGTTGCGTGAATGGTAGCTTTATAGTTGGTTGCTCTTACTGTTCGTGGCTGATAGTGTATGATGGCAGGATTGTAGTCTCAGAGACCATCATGCCAGAAGAAGAGACTTCTCTCATAAAAATATTATTATTGCAAAGAATAATAGGAGGACAGCAGAGGCTCAGGTTTTGGCATCGAGGTATGTTCCAGACACAGTTGTTCCAGCGAGGTGTTAGTACCTGTGACAAGCTGTTATTGTGAAATGGTGGTGGTTTATATGCCTCATGGCTGAAGACTGATGAAGTTTTTTGTTCTCTTTTTTTTTTTTTTTTTTTTTAATAATAACCTTTAAGGACTTGGAACACTCTGATTCCTGTTTCACCAGGAGGGCAGGCACAATAGATTGGTTCCTTTGTTTATCACATGCAGTCTGCAAGTGGTAATTCTTATTCTGGCAGGGCTGAAATAAGCCTTTGATCTGTCCTTAAAAGCAGGATATTTTAATGTTTTTTTCCACTTACTCAAGTGACTTTCAAAGTCCTCTGTAGATGTTTCTTGAGTACTTCTAAATTAGCAGGGATGCAGTATTCCCAACTCAATCGCTTTCTACCTAAATGTAGAAACAATGTCAAACTTTGTCTGAAGAGGATTAAACTTTTAATGCACTTCATGTCATTATAAAAAAAGAGAGAAAGAAAAAAAGAGGCAGAAATGTCCTGTTAGAAACTTTAAGGGTCAGAATAATTACATTCTTTTTCAGTCTACTTCGTTCTCTAAATCCAAGACTAAATACTTAGGAAAGCCATCAAGCACTACCGTTAACTACTGTTAACTTCCCACAATTTTCTGGTTACCAGTATGAGTTTCAGTACTGGATACCGCTTCTTTCTGCTATTTTCTTACTTCCCTGGGCTTTGAGCACTTATTAACTCTTTAGAGAAATGCTGACCAAGGCAGCAGCAGCAGCATTTACTGTGGGGCTGAAGGAACTGTGTGTAACCTGAGGAACCAGATAAGAAATTAGTGAAACACTACAAACTGATAGTGATTTCAGCTTGATGTAAATTGTGATGATGTCCTGGCTTTTATTCATGGTCCCTCTCTGTTGTTGTTGGGGTTTTTTTATTAATTCTTTCAAAATTTGCCTTCTGCTGCTCTCTTAGAGCATGGTCGTAGTTTCAGTGAGTTCTGTTTTTCGTTAGCAAGTTTGTTAGCTTTCTAGAGCTATTCACCTGAAGCACATGTTTTGAAACAGTAAAAAAAATAATCTTCAGTCTCTGACAGTAGTTACAGTTTCGATTTGGGTTTTTTGTTTGTTATGTTTATACCTGTTTATACACGTTGCTGAATTAAAGGCAAGATAAGATCTAAAAAAAACACTTAATATGTGAGGCATAGAGCAATTTATTTCATAATAGGTCTAATTCATACGAATTATATTTTTTCACCAGTCCTTGTATGGTGTGTGTCTTTCACAGGAACTTTGGGGAGTTTGTTGTATAGGAGCAAAGTTAACTGCAGGGTTCATCTGGAGTCTCGGAAAAGCTTTTAGGGCTTCTGAGCCTACATTCCAGAATGTCACGAATGTGAGGACCTAGATCTTTTAAACTTCAAATATAATTGTAAAAGCTGCAGTAGGTATAGAAGTTTGATGGATTTGGCACAATAATCATTGCTGGCGTGCTCTGAACTTCAGTAAGGATTGTTCAGTTCTGTACACTTGAGAGAAGGCACGAATAATCAACTGGAAATGAGTGTGAGACTAAGATTTAATTACAAGACAATAGATTGTCACATTACAGGGATCCATGCAGAGATACTTTCAATAGAATTTAATGAAGAGGATAAAATTTTGCAGTAGAGAGCAGTGTAGCAAACTGAAATAAAGCCTAATTAGAGGCTAGTATTTGTTTTAACCGTTAAAGACAAAGCAAGGAATGGAGGTGCTCTCAGTGTAGTCTTATGTAATTTTGCCAGATTATTTGGAAAATGGTACTACTGTCTTCTGACAACATGGTCAATGCCATGGACTGCATCAGAAAGCCATGACAGGAAATGACTAACTAGACATTTCTCTCAACAGAAGTATATTATCTCTGTGAAACACACATGTTTGTGTTTGTGAAATACAAACTTCTTTTCCAAGCAGTTGATACCACATTTCCATGTTTCACTTTCAAACTTGAGAGATAATAATGGGCTTTGAAGGAGGTATTTACAATAACTCCCTTAATTTCATAAAAATGTTTAAGGTATCTAAAATGAGTTGACTGTCTTCTGATTAGATGTTTTGAGATGATAAATACGGAGAGAACATTGTGATTTATTAGGATGGAATGCTTTGAAATCCGTAGAAGGGGAACATTAGTCAGTTCTTTAAACAGACATGAAGTGCGTCTAATGAGTGAGTTTGATGCGTAAATACGAATTTTCTGTGTTACATCACTTGAATTTTCAAGAACTTCAGGCCCAGGTCTGAAGCAGCAGAGTGAAGTGAATCGACTCGTAAGGAGGTGGGGAGTGTAGCTCTGTGTTTAAAACTTGTGCTGCAGCTTACCGAGTTAGTGTGAGCTGTGGTAGCTCTTTGAGTGCAGGCAGTGGAATCATTTACATCCAAAGGGACGAATGCATCTTCAGACTGTATCGCTGACCTTGTATGTTTGCACAAATGGCGTGGCAAGTGCCATGCTGTCAGCCTGCAAATGGAAATCGCGTTTTCCACATCAAACTTACTGCTTTTGAAGACTTGGAAAGGTATTTAAAGATACTTTGAAACTTCAGAATGGGGAATTTCTCAAGTGCGTGGTGGTGTAATGCAGTCCCTATCGAGAGTACTGTTTTGGTGTTTGTAATTGATTTGTTGAGCAAGCTTTGTCATCTCATCTTAATAATGAGGCAAGACTTCCATCCACACAGGCACAAAACTGGGGAAGTGCCTTTGTGCCAAAAGCAAGATAAAGTATCGTATAGCGATGTACAGACATGTAGGAAAGATGTTTTTGTCTGAGCCTGCCATGACAGGGATTCTGTTTAACCCTTGTTTCATCTGGTCTGGATTAAATCTGTACAACAAGTTCTTCCTTTTTTCCCTCGTCGTTCTCGTCACATTTACAGTAGCTGGTTTTTGCTTATGTAGGTGCCTTGGCCACAACTGCTGTATCTTGGAAAAAAACATTGCTTTTGTCCAAGAAAAAGACAGTAGTGCAGTTTTTATTGTAGGCATCTCATTCTACTTTCTGTCCTTTAAGCATAGGTGAGAGAGTAACTTGAACAAAACTAGGCACGTCTTTAAAAAGTCAGTCAGGACTCTGTTGTGGTAGGATCAGGTAGTTGGGGTCCTGACAGAGTTAAGCAGACTTCTTTTCATTTGCAAAAAAGGGATGGCTGTGCCTTCCTGCTACTTTTTTTGGAGCTTGGGTGGTGGTCTTCTGCTTTGTGGTGTTGTTGGGGTTTTTTTTTTTTTTCTTTTCAACATCTGTACAGCAAGAATTAACATCTTAATTTTTCCCAGTTCTTCACCTTTATTATACATGAATGCATGTAGCTTGTCTGTTAGCTTTGTTTTTTCAAGGGGCTCATGTTAACAGCTTTATTTGGAGTCTTTGATAGTTTCCAGCTAAAGACTTACGGGACACTGCCAACACTTACTTTTGGATAAGGTTCTTGCAATAGCTACCTAATGCATCTGTATAACTTAGACTTCAAAAAAGTCTGTTCTGCTCAAAGTACAGTTTTCTTTAGATCTTCTGAGGGTGCTTTTGTGACTTTGCTGTTCACGTTACTGCAGTATGTAGGATATCATAGAATCATTTAGGTTGGGAAAGACCTTTAAGATCATGAAGTCCAGCCGTAACCCAGCACTGCTAATAGCACCACTAAACCAGGTCCCTAAGCACCACGTCTGCACGTCTTCGCCTCCAGGGATGGTGGCTCAGTGTAAGTCCATAGAGAAACAAAGCAGGCAATACCATCGTCTGGTTTGTTAGGTGGGAAGCGAGGCATCGAGGCATTTAGAAACACTGGCAGTTTGTGCTGAGATACGGGCAGGAATTGAGGTTTAATCCAGGTTACATGCCCTGTTTGTTTGACTTCTTGTTTGGGGGGGTTCAGTACTGACGTCTGTGGTGCTAAAATGTTGCTAGACGCTGCTGTTATGTTTCGGCGTTGAATGGTTTTCTAGAAACATTTGTGGCGATTTTGGTTTCTTACTTCTCCACACATAATAACATTTGGAGTCTGTAGTTCTTCCTGGGAAACAAATTCTGTACTTTGCAGCTCTATTTTGTGTTTTTGAGGGTTTCCTATTTTACTATTCAGAAAAGTACTATGTAGTAGAAATGCAAATGAGCGATAAAATTAAGTTTATATATGGTTGCTTACGATTAGGCCTGTGTACTTGTTAATTTTAACTGTGCCTTTCAAGCAGATTTGCAGCAGATAATACTGGTAGGGTTCCTTCCAGTAGAACCAACGGGAAGCGTTTTTTTCCCTTGTTATGAATTAGTGTGGAATTCCTCGTTTGACCATGCTGGGTATGACAGTAAAAATGTTCTAGTACTGTATTGCCAAAGATAGAGTTGTCTTCATTTGTGAAGAGATGAAACTGGTATTTATGGGCCGTCTTTGAGCAGATGTGGCATGACTGTACTGGGTAATAGAGGCTTCCGCTTGGCAGAGACAAAACTATTTCAGTCCGCTGTTCTAATGCTGAGCTTCACATCATGGCACAAATGCTTCTTTGCATCTTGGTAGAAGTATGCACACATTCCTTCTCATGTGTACACATTCCTGAGGGTGTATCTTACTGCTGGATAATGCCTTCTTTTTTTCCTTTTTGTCCCTCCCTTAAGATATAATTGACCCAGCTATCCTGCGTCCTGGTAGACTGGATAAAACACTTTATGTGGGTTTGCCACCACCAGAAGATCGACTTGCTATTTTAAAGACCATCACCAAAGTGAGTATTTGGAAATAAATCCCTATCTCAAAGATTGGTGGAATGAATTAACACAAATTAAATTTTACAGAGAATTGCAGGGATCCTGTCCAATGAAACACCTGAGGTTGTAAAAATAAGCCATCAGCCACAATCTGCTGGTTAAATTTGTTCTGAGGCTGCAAGGGGTTGCTAAATCCTGTAAGGCAAACCTATTAAACATAAAAACTGCTGCAATTATGGTCACAGTTTGAACAGATTTAATTAAAAGATTCTTATCTGTGTGAGTAATGGGCCTAGAACTCTTTTGTAAGCTTTTGGGG